TCATAAAAAATTTCTATACAATAAATTTATGCACTTCTAGTGATAGGCGGTAAAAAGGAAATAACAACTTTTCAAACCGGCTAATAGAAAACGACTAAACGGATGGGAAATAAGTAACATGGGTTTGGAGGTTGGAAATGGAAGTGTGCCCTGCTTACTACGCCCGCTGCTTCCGGAAGAGCCCGTTGTAGCATTTGCGAGCAGAATGAAGCCCTCACCACAGATCCACTACTGGAAGCAGGACCTTTGCCGAGTGTCAAAAATCGGGCACTCGGCAAAGATCTTCTTTGACGAGTGCTGCACTCGGCAAAGAGTTCTTTACCGAGTGTCAGGCTCTCGGCAAAAGCGCGGCAGTCGGCATAGGCTGCCCCGCATAACGGTGTTCAGCCACATCCTTCTTTGCCGAGTGCCTGCTGTTAGGCACTCGACAAAGATTTTTTTTTTGGAAAATACTTTGCCGAGTGCCCCTGACACGGCGCTCGGCAAAGATTCAATATTTTTTTTTGAAATGTCTTTGCTGAGTGCCCCTGTGAAGGCACTCGGCAAAGATGAAATTTCTAAAAAAATTCAAAAATCCTCTTTGCCAAGCGCCTTATTCTTGCCACTCGGCAAAGACCCCTTTTGCCGAGTGCCATATCCTGACTCTCGGCAAAGTTTTTTTTATTTTTGGCCTCCAAATTTTTTGTGCAGCCCTTTTAAAGTACCAGGAACTTCTCGTTAGAATTTGGGGATTTTTTGTGGCTTTTTGATATATTTAGTTACTTTATTTCGTTTACTTGAATTTTTTCAAAAAATATAAATTTGAACTGCACGTGGTACGAATAATGAAATTTAATGATTCAAAAAATGATAGTCATGTTACTGAGTGTCATGTGAGGCCGTATCCAGGAACGGACCCGAAATTTCGGACATCTTGTTCACGAAACATGACCGCGAACTTGCGTGCGAAGTGTTTTTAAATTCTATAAAAAGCAAACGAAGTCCAAAAATCATAAAACTTGTTGAGATGTCATGATATCGTATGTGGAGACTATGATAAAAATTTCAGAAGATTTCGTGCACGTTGTCACGTACGATGCTTATAAACCAGGATATCCCACATGTAGAGATGTATAGATTCAATGCAATTCTAGTGACATGGTATATTGGAAAAAAACTTTTCAAAGCACGGCCACGGCGGGACTGGCAGTAGTATATACCCATAAAGAAAATTACATGCGGTCACTAATAAAAACAACTAAATGGATGAAAAATAATAACCTCAATAGTAAGATCGGTTTGGGAGATGGAATTATTGGAAGAGTGCGCTTACTGTGTTCACTGCTTTCGGAAGAGTCAGTTGTAAAAAAAACTCGACCTGCGAGGGGTAAGTCACTCCTGGGCATTGCTGTAAGAGAGAAGACATTCTCACACAGGCCGAGAAAACCCCCGAACCTCTGTTCCACCCTGACACAGGAGCACCGTTGCCCTGTGGAAACCAGGCTGGCCCTATGACCTGTACTTTGGCCGTGAGATAGACGAAGGGATTTTTTTAACCCTAAACTTGAAATTCGCATTTGTGAGCAGAACGAAGCCCTGACCACATATCATCAGAAGTAGCAGTAGCAGAGCGAAGCAGACCGCTGGCAACCTCGTTGGAACATGTCCGGTACTCCGCGTCATGGATGGACGTGGATGAAGTATCATTTGATGAGTCGGCAGATCCTCTACGCCCGTGTGAGCGAGCCTGAAATTGAACGACCAGTAGCTAGCTACTAGAACATACAGTGAGTCTGCCTGCAATAATGGTATACCGTATTTTTTCAGCCAACGAACAATATTTTTTTCTCACAATAAATCAGTCAGCAGTATTATTAGCCATGGCTTATCAGTCAAGCGAAGAGAATAATGTTGTCGTTGTTGCTGCACATGCTTCCATCCGGTGGTTGAACGTGGACTTTGACTAGGACCATTGCTGTCACTATGCTGCAAATGTGTCCCTTCTCCGCATCTTACTAGTCAATGGTGAGACTAAGGAAGGATGCCTCGGCAGACGAAGAAGGATGTCCGATGAGATTTCTAGCCTTTTTATTTTTTCTTTTTTAAATGATTTAGCTATTTATTAATTACTTATTTTTTGTATAGATTTTAAAAATGAAGGGCTGAGATTTGTTTGACATCTTACCTCCTATGAGGTAACGGTTGTACCGTAGCAAGACCATTATCTTTTGTCTCTGCTAGTGCACAGAAGTTCCATTCACTAGAGATCGGTTGCTCGATTCTTCCCTTCACGTGTTCGACTTTTTCTATATTGTTCGAAGAGAACTGCTCCATATACTCATTATATTAGCACAGTTTGAGAGTGATAAATTTTTCCTTCATCTGCAGCATATCTCCTATGCTTTATAAACGAAATTCTTTGTAGCACAATCTTAGCACAGTTTGAGAGTACAATTTGCCCTTCTCACAAAGAGAAAAGATCCCCTCACCTACAAAGCCGAGGTATAGGGTTTTCCTAAGCTAGCATGGTTAAGGCTTGTTCCAAAATAGCAGTAGTGCTCACGGGAGGTCGTTCGCCTGGCCTATGTCAGCCCAGTATTTCATTTATAGTTATATTTTGAGACCGTATATCATAAAAAACTTCTATACAATAATTTTATGCACTTCTAGTGATAGGCGGTAAAATGGAAATAACAACTTTTCAAACCGTCTAATAAAAAATGACTAAACGGATGGGAAATAAGTAAGATGGGTTTGGAGGTTGGAAATGGAAGTGTGCCCTGCTTACTGCGTCCGCTGCTTCCGGAAGAGCTCGTTGTAGCATTTGCGAGCAGAATGAAGCCCTCACCACAGATCAGAAGCAGCAGCCGAACAAAGCGGACCACCGCCGGCAGCCTCGTCGGAACATGTCAAGTGCTCCGCGTCATGGATGGACCGGGCATGGATGAATAATGGATCGGTTGGCAGAACCTTTTCGCCCGTGTGATTGGTGTGAACGAACCTGAAATTGGACCACCACCAGCTAGCTACTGGAACGTACAGTGAGTCTACTTGAAATGGTGGCAGACATTGTAGATGTTATTGCTGCACATCCTTCCGTCCAGTGATGGAACGTCGACTTTGACTAGAACCATTGCTGGCGCTATGCTACAAATTTGCCCCTTGTCTGCACAGAGAGCGATCACATGCTTGGATTTGTAAGCATGACCAGCTAATTCTTTTTCGACGAAGTTACCACCCTAGTATTAGGCAATGGGACGGGTGTTGCGGCCCCTAGTCAGAGTGGAAGCTGCAACTTAGTCAGTATGCATATGCATATATGGGTCCCGTATTTAAGAATGCTAAAATGAATTAAATCTAGCAAACTATACGTAAAACCGCATAAACCTAATTAGTATGCCTGCTGCGGCCTCAAACCAGAATCCCAGCGTCGCCCCTAATAACAACCCCTTCGCAATCGTTAAGTTAAAGAAAATGGCATGGTATATCTTAACCGTAGTGAAGAAAACTAAAAATTACTTTTGTGAACATAATTTACTACCTGTTATGCAGAAACTATTACTAACTTGTCTACTTATATGTGCGGTTGCACAATCAACATAAATTGCTATAAGTCTAATATATTTGAGAATAACTACTATACATACAATATGAGTAGCCACATAAAATATATTCTCAAACATATCCATTAGGTCTAGCTTTTGTAGATCTTACTGTAAGCAGCATGCATGGTCGTGCAAACCAAATTGAAAACCGACACTACAATGGAAAGTTATAGCATTTTTAAGTTTGAGTACAAACCACAAATTTTACCACATGAGCTAGAGGCCCACCAAGCAGCCTCTCATGGTCACATGTCAACCTCAAGCGTTACGCGTTGCTTCCTACCTCTACGCCCAAGAGTCAGTGAATATATTAATACATATTTGAGACCGTATACGAATTTCAATAGAAAAGATTGAATTGGAAATTTTTAGATCTCTTTGTGCGAGTGCTATAACTTTGGTTTAGGTCACTTCTCCATCCGAGGTCATTTGAAAAACTAAAAAGAAATAATTTCAAATTATTATTTTTCTCTATGGTAGGTTAAGGAAACCATCAGTGTAAATTCATCGGCACTTTTCTTAAGCCTACCAATACTATAAATCCTATATTTACACTGACGTTAGGTTGAAGACAACCGTCACAATCAATTGGACTTACTATGGCTGTTGTCTGAAGCCTTCCGGTAGTGCAAATGGAGATTTACAGTGGTGGTTGTCTTAAGCTTATTACCGGTGTAAATAAAGGATTTGTACTGGCACTAGTCTTAAGAAAACTGTCAATATCAATACATCTCTACTGGCAGTTTATAGCCATGGGGCCCTAGTTTATTTCTATTGTTGTTTGTTCCATATAAGAAGGGTCAGTAAAAAAATGATTTGCATCGATAAAATCTGTTTCTGTACTTATGGTCTGAGAATTGTACTGGCATTGTATGGACGTTATCTTGTGGGCCATGGGCGAGAAGAAGATCGGCACTACTGCTAGGTAGATGATAGCTACGGTCAAGTGCCTAGGCAAGTAAAGCCAAACTAGCAGATATCGACAACTGCTCGTCGTCCCTGATCCAGAGATCCACGTGGCTAGCTGGTGATGATATAAACATGGACGCATACGAATGAATGAAACGTGTATCGACAGTTCAGACCCGGTCAGCTGCATGCACGGTCTCGGCGGTCCATGCACGGCTTGCCATGATAACTACTAACGATTCTTTTGTGTAGTAGAATACAAATATATACACATATATCAAGCTGGAGGTACAGCAACGTGATCTCAATTTCCACATGGTGTCTCCTTCAATCGGTGTTTCCTGGACTTATGTTGGCTGACTGACTTCAGTCGACTCTTAGTCAAACCACCTTTTTATCATGAATGATACTCCGTCCATTTATTCCAAATTGTAAGTCATAGTTTTTTTAGAAATATAACTTTGTTATTTATTCAATTAGATAACTTTTGTCCATTGATTGATGGCAATGGGTGACCCTGGTCTGGTCTACCACACCACAGCACGCCATGCATGCACATGCACCTGCAACTGGTCGGTGCAGAGGCGGACCAGACCATGCACCTCGGGGCGACGCGCGTGGGACTCCAGAGCACGCATCGTGCACAGGCGCGGGCGGCTGTCCGTGCTGGATCGGTTCTGGATCGTTCCTATAGAAAATCGAGTGCTCACCGCTCGAGAAACGCTTGAGTACGGTATAGTTTTACCAAAAAGAAAAGCGCGCAGCTGGCAAGCGCACATGGCCGCGGCGGAGGGCGCGGGCCGCTGCCGACTCCGCGGCAAGCGGTGCGGTGACCATCTGGTTCTGCGGTGGGACGGGCAGCGCGAACCTGCAGGTGGGTGGTGAGGACCTGGTGGGTGGCGGCGTGGATGTGGCGTAGGCACCACAGCACAGGCGGCGTCCTTGTGTTAGTAGTCTGGTGCAGGTGAGCAACCCTTCGTTGCCGTAGTTGCTAGCAACAGCAGGCTATCAACCCTCTGCTTCTCCCCTCCGTACGGTAAGACGTTGCAGGCATGTGAACACACGGTGGAGTTGCACCCATGTGTGTGATGAGTCACAGATCCGGCCGCGGCCACTACATGCTGGCGCGGGGCGCGCGGGACGCGGGCACGGTCCCGTCGGCCACGAGCCAGGCGCGGGTGCGACCTAGGCTAGAGCAATCTGTTTACGGATGAGAATTGGGTGATATGGTTAAGCTAATGACGCTTATTTGGTATAAAAAAATAGTATTTTAATATATTTGGTTAAACTTGAAATTGTTTCACGTATCAAAATATGAGACCTGCACTTCTTTCAGCTGGAGAAAGTGCATACTAAAAAAGTTACTGACAGCGCGCAGTGGCTGCTCATTCAAGTACATAAATGCTGCGGAACACAAGTTGCAGTGCAGGGCCTAGGGGGTGTTTGGTGCCCTCATAAATTTTAGTCGTTGTGCCATCGAATATTTTGACACATGTATGGAGTATTAAATATAGACTAATTACGAAACTAATTATATAGTTTGCGACTAATTTGCGAGACGAATCTTTTAAGCCTAATTAGCCCATGATTTGGCAATATTTTGCTACAGTAAACATGTGCTAATGACGGATTAATGATGCTTAAAAAAATCGTCTCGTGGAGTACTGACGGATTATATAATTTATTTTTTTATTAGTATCTGAACACCCCATTCAATATCCTCCGGACACACCTCTCAAATTTTAGTCACGGGAATGCTGACGATGATAGAAACTTCGATGTGTGAATGTGTGATGAGCATTCACGGGACTGAATTTATTCAGTCTGATGGTGTGGTCTCCTCCTAAACAGTGTTTTTATCTGACTTGATTGGCTTGCGTGTGAACGAGATCCACTGCGATGGATCAGCATGAGAAAAGCGTATAAACGCACATACTAGTTTGTCATGGCCCAGCATGCCACTGCACTCAGATCTAAACTGAAGGCAATAATAGAGGACAGGGGCAGAGGTCCGCGCAGGCCAGCAAGTCAAGTCGTCGGCCCCCACTCACGGCGGAGCAGCATATGTTGTGCTCACCACTCATCAGTGCCATCTCTAAAGACACCTGCAGTCTCATCCTCCCATAGACCCCATGTGGACGCATGTGCTACCAGCGTAGGTATCGAGGCCCGTCGAATGGATGGCTGCCTGCCATAGCCCCCCGTCTGCCTGGTTGCTTCCGGGTTAATTTTGCAGCTACTTCATGCCTCCAACTAGACGCCTTGTCACCACCAACCATCAGACTTATTTGCTGCTATGAATCCATTACACTCAGATCTGAAACAAGCAAGGGTAGAAGCATGAGTGTGGTGACGGGGGCGCTGGGAAGCCTCGCCCCCAAGCTTGCGAAGCTGCTCCATGACGAGTATAAGCTCCAGAAGGGCGTGAAGAAGCAAGTGGAGTCGCTCTCCCGCGAGCTGGACAGCATCTACGTTTTCCTCCACAAGGTCTCGGATGTGCCATGGGACCAGCTCGACGAGCAGGTCAAGTTGTGGGCGCGCGAGGTCAGGGAGGCATCCTACGACATGGAGGATATCATCGACACCTTCCTCGTTCGCGTCGACGGCGGAAAGAACAACTCCGACTCCAGCAGACTCAAACTTGCCATGACGAAGCTGGGTGAGCTGTTCAGCAAGGCCAAGGCTCGCCGTGATATTGCAGCAAAGATCATGGACATAACAAAGCGTCTCGAGGAGGTAGCCAACAATCGTCAGAAGTACAAAACGGATGAGATTATGTGCAAGCCACTCGCAGCAACGTCAACTATTGATCCCCGCCTTAAAGCTATGTACAAAGAAGTGACACAACTTATTGGCGTCGACAAGTCAAGCGACGAGCTCATGTCCATGCTGAATACATCCCAACAGGATCATGATGCCTCTGATAAGAAGATGAAGATGGTTTCAGTTGTGGGAGTTGGAGGATTGGGTAAAACCACTCTTGCCAAAGCGGTGTATGACAAGCTTAAGTCGCAGTACGACTGCGGGGCTTTCGTTTCAATCGGTCGGGATCATGACTTGGTAAAAGTTTTCAAGGATATTCTCTTTCATCTTGACAGTGAAAACCATAAGGACATTCACAACACTGAGAGAGGCGTCAAGCTACTCATTGACCAACTCCGAGAATTCCTGAAGAAAAAGAGGTAACACAGACATTCAATTGTAAATTGTAATTAGCCTGTACTTTTAAGATATTGCTCCTCAGTTAGTCGATGCTACACTATGTCGTATGTTATCCTAAAAATGCTATCACCACATCATTTATGCGAGACTACTTGAGATTTATTTTCTCCACTCCATGCCCTGAGTGCTCTTTTTTTAAGTATGCAGCTTTTAGACTACTTCACTAGCTATAAAAAAGGACAATGCATTTAGCACTTCTAAGCATCATAGTTTAATTAAGTAAATTCATAAACATTTTTAGGAGCTTAGATTTTGAAGATGTGTTCCTTCTGAAACTATAAATTATAGGAAAAACAACGTTTTAGGGTTGCCTATGTTTGCAACATGGCCATAGATGAGTAAGTTCTGTGTAATAAAGTGTCCTTAAATATGAAGTTTTCTTCAAATAGGCCACTTGGTGTGTAGTTTCTATAAATATCACTACTCGAATCCCGAATTACCTTGGGTGCTAAAAAAACGCAAAGGAAAATACCAGAACCGCAAAGGAAATTATCTTTGACCATTAACCATCGCAACTTCCGTCATGTGTTTTATTTTTACTAACGCGACCTTGTGTTTTATGTGTCATGCTGACTTCCTTTAATCTTAGCAAATTTCTTGCTTCTGCAGAAGCTCCAAACTTTATTAACCAATGGTTCTTCCACTTTGGTGTGGATAGGTATTTTATTGTTATTGATGATGTATGGGAGGTACGCACCTGGGAAACAATCGAACTAGCACTTGTTGAGAATAATCATGGAAGTAAAGTAATCACAACTACTCGTAAGTTTAAAGTTGCTAAAGAAGCTGGTGAGGTTTACAAGCTAAAGCCACTTTCCTTTGATGACTCCATGAAGTTGTTCTGTACAAGGTTATCTAGTGCAGACAGAAAGTACCTTGATAACCATCCAAATGATGTTTCTGAGAAAATTCTAAAGAAATGTGCTGGTATACCATTAGCAATCATCACAATGGCTAGTTTGTTGGCTGATAAACCAGAATGCGAATGGTCAATGGTCTACAACTCTATTGGTTTTCATACTACAGATAACACGGAAGCTGAAGATACTATGACAATACTTTCATTTGGCTACTATGATCTGCCTCCACATTTGAGGACATGCTTACTATATCTAAGTACATATCCAGAAGATTATGAGATCAAAAAGGATTCTTTGATATGGAAGTGGATAGCTGAAGGATTTATTGATGGGAAACAGGGAACAAGATTATTTGAGCTTGGAGAAAGATACTTCAATGATCTCATTAATAGAAGCTTGATCCAGCCTGTGGAGAGCAAGTGGAATGGCAGAGTAGAATACTGTCGTGTTCATGATATGGTTCTTGATCTGATGCGTAAGCTTTCATCTGATGAAAACTTTATTACTATATTAGGTGACAATGTTGAAGGAGCACCTGCACCAAGCAATGTCCGTCGGTTAGCCCACCAAAACAGAATAGCCGAGCACATTAATTCGGAAACAATGGTTACTGGGATGCCAAAAGTGAGGTCATATACCGCATTCGACTGTTTTATTGATAGCCGGGACCAGTTTTTGAGATTTAAACTTTTGCGCGTGCTGGAAATAGTAGACTGCAGCTTTGAGAAAGGTTGCCACCTTGAGCATCTTGGTGATTTACTTCACTTGAGATACCTTAGGATAAGATTCAACAGTAGTTCCCTTGAGCTCCCCAAACAACTAGGGAATCTAAAGTTACTACAAACACTCGATGTGGAGGGAACATTGCCGGCAAGCATTGTGCACCTAACAAAGCTATTTATTGGTCACAGTGATAAGCCCAAGAGATTTTTCAAGGAGCTTGCCAGCCTGCGAGAACTGAGGGTGCTCGTGTTCGTCACTAAAGGGGCGGACGAGAGCATGCAGGGAGATTTCGTGGAGTCTCTAAGCAATCTGCAAAAGCTCCAGCATATAGATGTGCAAGGTTTAGCTTGGCACGCAGGTACAGCCATGTGGGAAGCAGCAGGCTTTGTGCTCCCAGAACCTCTCCGTTATTTGCAATGGTCTGATATTGAATTTTCTAAATTGCCGTCGTGCATTAATCCCACACGTCTTCCCAACCTGGCCCACTTGGCACTGCGGGTGACTACTATGGATGAGCAGGATCTAAAACTCCTTGCTAGGTTACCGGCGCTCTGTTATCTCAAGCTGACAATGGATGAGCAGTCCAAGGTAACAGCAAGCAATATTAACTCCAGTGATCGCAGCTTGTTCCCGAAGTTGACGCACTTCGTTACCAATGCAATGGTGCAGTTTGAGCAGGCCAACAAGGAGGACACTAGCGTTTCAATGCATATGTGGATTGGAAAGGATGGCATACCCTTTGCCTCTAGAAAAAGAAAAGTTGTACCCTCTGGCGTGATGCCAAATCTTGAAATGCTTGAGCTTTCTGATGTCCGTTTGTGGGACCTAAAAGATCACTACATTGACTACTGTGAGAATATAGGCTTAGAGTACCTGCCTTCCCTTCGGGAACTCAGAGGGGAGATCTCTCGTGGCATGCCTGCTACGGAGATGTATGAAGCATTGGATGTACTGAGAGACGCATGCAACTACCATCCTAACCATCCCACGTTTGCTATGCATGGATCATCATATTAATCAGGTACGACGAGAATTTTGTAGTTCCGATCAAATTAATATCTCATTATTCGTTTCTATCTTGTTATAGTTCTGCCTCCATTTTGGCATATATTATATATATACAGCACTTGCCTGTCTCTACTCAATTAATTATTAGCTTTATCCAGAATGTTCAGGGGAGACAATAATAATGTGTCTTGAGGAGATACGAATTTGGATCTGCATGCGTACAGTGTATGTAAGTACTCTCTCCAACCTGTTCTGTCCTATCCTAGCTGATGGTGTCACTGTTGCTGCTCGTGCGTGTCAGCCATTCGACTGCACAGATTTTGGAAATGTGTCAGCCCACTTTCCGTCAAACAAATAACTTTGTGATTCCTGAGAGAGACATATCTGGTACAGCACCGTCGCATTTCCATTATGCGAACATCTATGCTGATGTATGAAACTACCAAACCTGTTTTAGCACATACTGATTTTCCATCATTGAATCCATTACATAACGGACGTAGATTTTTTCAGTCACTGGCTGCACCGACTCTGTTTCTGGCCACCAGTCGATACTCTGTTTTCCAGTCGATACTCTGCCTCGATGGTTGGTTCCTTCGTTTGATTTGTACATAAGTCACTTGTTTATAATCTGTCACGTGAGAGTCTATGACACATCTATCCTTCTATGATTCTTCACTAGGAAGTAACCACTTTGGTCATCGGATAATTTATGGTTGTAAGCATAGTATGTGCACAAAGATTAAGTAGAATTATTGATGTTTCTGATCCAAGTTTCTGCATGAACCGTGGTGCAGCTCAAATGGAGGTGGCTTCAATGCTTGTAAGACTACAACAGAGCCCATCGCCACAAGACACAACTTCACTTGACTGTGAGCCAGACGGTTTCGGCTCTTATGTTCCCCCGAGCTATTTTCTATTCGAATAAATAAAATATGTTGTATCAAATTTTCAATGTACTCTGCTGCTATTAGAACCTGCTGCAACATTTTTCTTTTTGCTGAACTCGTGGCTTGTATTATTTATTTAGTTTCTGGACCTTTCTGTGGTTCGTACATTCTAATAAGCTTGGAACGTATTTATGTTGTGCAAAAGTTTGAGGAGGCTCTATGTGTTGCTTGCATTGCCTCATGGTGCCTTTTTGCATTGCCGCTGTCTGGTTTCCACACGACGCATTTGCCCGCTGGGATGCTGGATCCAGGCATGGAACAAGAGAACAGAGAATGCAGCCATGGAGCCGGCAGACCCGGTAGAGGTTGAAAACATATCATTTTTATTTAGAAATGGTAATTTCTCCGATATGACTTAAACCTCTAGACACGGTGGTTAAAAATAGTGCAACCGCATAGGAGAAAATAGAGTGGACTAAAATTTTTAGACACAAGGTCTCTAGAGTCTAGACACGGCACGATCCAAAATTTTTAGCTGCGTCATGGCCATGGCTAACAGCCGTTCCGTTGGTATGGGTCTTCATCCCGTGGGCCTACATTTCAGTAACAAATGTGATTGCTGGCCCATGGGCCACGTCGGCCCCCGTGGCGAGAACAGCAGGCCAATGGGTATGTGCGATATATACTCATTGCTAAAAAAAAGAAGATGTGCGATATATACTCAGTATATAATAAGTAGGATGCTGCTGATCATCTACAGATCTTCTATATAACACACAAGAGAAATTGAAGTGGACTGGAGAAGGAGTCAAGCTGAAAACTTACAAGTACTGTTTTTCCGGGTGTCAGAGTGGTTATTCCTAAGTCACAACTTAAATAAAGGGTTTGCTCAGTCTCAATTACAGAACTGGAAACACAGAGCATATCCCATATATAGTTTAAACTGGATGGAAATAGTACTTTCTGGGAAAATATGTGGTGGAAAGCAAAAATACACAAAGTCCAAACCGGTGTCAGCAAAAGGCAATCCATCATCTACGTACATTCATTTGGGGTCTCATCTCTTGATCTTGAGTCTATTGAGCATTTGTTTTTTGGGCTGCTGCCAACTCTTTGTCGCCGTTTAGAATGTCAAGAACCTCCGTCATGGTGGACAGTCTGCTGGATTCTCGAAGGCCATCTCGCAAGGCTCCCTTCTGTCGGTCTCCTCGGCCGCAACCCGAGTCGAGGGTTCATCTCCTCCATCTTCGATGCAGGAGGGAACCGATAGGCATCTTCACCATTCTCTTCCTTAATGGTAAATCTTGGAGTCCTGACATAGAACCAGTAGCGGTACCAATAGTTGCTCCAGCGATTACGCTGAGCATAAGCAATCAAATACCTTTTCCTGGCCCTTCGAAAGTCCGCTTGGGCATAAAAGGTACAAATGGAAAATACTCCTCCTTCGTCAGGCCTTTGACCATGATCCGCTTCAGCTGATGCTGAAGCTCATAATGCGCGCAAAAGTAGTCAATATCAGCATCCGACCTTGAAGGTGTGGCTTGCCCAATAGAACTTTGCCAAAGCCAAAATCCCATTTGGAGTCAACTGATGCAGTTGCACAGAGAAGGCCTCCAGCACATCCTTCACAAACCTTACCCATGGCATGCGCAGGGCCACAATAAAGAAGTCACGTAGGCACAGACTCACCCTTCGGAGCTGTAGCCCGGCCTTCAGCAAACCATCCAAGCTCAGCATACTTCTTCACATCCGCCTCAAAGGTGAGCGAAGGACCAAACTCGAAAGCCTTCGCATATTCAACCTTGCCTTAGCCAGTCTTGCTACCGCCTTTGATTAGATCCTTAGGGCTAGCCTCAAGGGTTGAGCCCTCGCACTCGCCATCAAGGATTGCTCGAAATACAAATTCCACTCTTGAACCTTCATGTTACAAAGCCTAGACCAAGGACCACAGCCACAAAATGTAGCCACTTCCAACAAACGCGATGAAGGATCTCTAAAAACAAAGGCAGAAACAAAAAAGGTGGATCTTTAACCATAGGGAATGCGACAGGGGGTGCCTCCGATCTACCACCCAAATACCTTTAAACAGTACCCCAACTAACGGTCCAACTTCCACCTTGTCACGGTCAAACTCCTGTCCATTTGTTTCATCAGTAAAACTCTAAGCACTACTACAGTAAAACTCTTGGGACGGCTGGGGATGGAGGCGCCCCTACAGTGGGCGTGCTCGGGACCCACGAGACTAGTTGCCCCTACAAATGGCACAGTAGGGGCGGCTGGTGATACGAGCCGCCCCTACAAATGGATCAATTTGTAGGGGCGGCTCACTCACCAGCCGCCCCCGGTGTTGCGATTTGTAAGGACGACTCAATCACCAGCCGCCCCTACAAATGCACGTACAAAAGGTTGTAGCCCCCTTCTTCCTGCTGGCTCGTGCATGCGGCTGCGAGCCTGCTCCGGTGAGCTGCGCCCCCTTGCCTTCCCCGCGGCTGTGCCAGTGCCCAGGACCGCCGCCGTTTTTCTTGATGTCGTGGACCGCCGCCGTTGCAACCTTCCCGCCGCCAAGAACCGGCCAACCGAGTTTGCGACGTCGCCCTGGTGCTGTAGAGCCGCCCTGCTCGCGCTTTCGTGGATCGGAGCACGAGATCGAGAGCTGCCCGTGCGCTATCCACGCGCCTCCCCCGGCGGCGTTTGCGTCCTCGGCACGGCGCACAGGCGGCCCAGCCCCGCTCCCCGCGTGCCCCGTCCCCGTACCCCTAGTGGCCATAGCCTGACCCTGCGCCCCAGCGGCTAGGCCCCAGCACCGCATCTCCGGTGGCCGCGCCATGGCCGGACGGTCGACCCCGCGCTGCGCGCAACTAAACCTCGGCCAGATAGGGGCAAAATCACAATTAGGCATAAAAACAAGGGGCAAAATCGCATGGGCAATCATGTCTTTTGTACAAAGTTTAACACCGTTAGGGGTGGATGATGGAGCAGGGGCAAATTGGTGCTTCGTGAATGGCACAGTAAGGGTAAATTCACAAAGTCAAAAAATAGGGGCAAAATGACAATTTCGATACAAAACAAGGGTACAAACGCAAGAGCCCCAAATTAATATGTATATATACACACTAAACACGGGTTTATACATATCTTGTTACATTCCTTCGTAGGCCCAATAGAACAACCATTTCCTGCAGCCCACGAAGGAAACCTAGAATACATTCTGCGTCACTACACCACAACCCACCTTTCCCTACAATTATTTGTTGGTAAATCAAGGGTTTTGGCAACACATAATGTGTTGGCAATTCTTTACTTTTTTAGCGTCACTTAAATTGTCGGCAATAGTAATGTAAGGCTACAACTTATATGTCGGCGTTTCTCCTTCCAACACATAAAGTGTCGGCGAAAGTTTTTAGACAAAAAAAGTGTCGTTGTAGCCTACCTAAACCACTGTCCAAGTGCCGACGAAAGGGCTAAGCCACTAAAACAGGAGGCCCACCCTTCATTCCTTACTCCCTTTCCACTTCCCTCCCCTCTCCCGCTGTGCCGCCTCCCCTTCCCTCCCCTCTCCCGTTGCGCCACCAACCCTAGCCAATGGCGCACCACCAACCCTAACCGGCGCGCCCCCTCCCCTTCCCTCCCCTCTCCCGCTGCGCCGCCGGTGGAGCAGGCCACCCGGGATGGCGGCGACGGGACTCTCCACTCGTCTGGTGGAGTGGCGGCACGTGATGACGCGGGCCGGCGGGCGTCGCCTCGCCCGAGCCACGTGGGGCTCGACGAGGCCGCCTGGCCGTGACTGCGATGGCGCCAGCCAGAGGCCTGGGCAGGCACATGGTGGTGGTGACGGCGGCGGGCTTCTCTTCCCCTCTGTTGTCCCCTTTCCTCCTCGCATGGCGGCGCCGACGGCACCGGCCTGGGATGCTCCAAGGCCTGGGCTAGCGGATCCGGTGCTCTGGTGGCCGAATCTGTCACCCCCAGGTCACGGGGCGGCGCCGGCAGTGGCGAGGCAGTGGAGTGGAGAGGAGCCAGCGGTGGAGTGACTCGTCCACCCATGTCGCACCTTGAGGATGATGCAGTGGCTGTGTCAGTCTCACGTAGTAGGCAGCCATAGCGAACGCGGGACAAAGAAGA